GGTAGGTGTAGTTGGGGATCGCCATGAACTTGGCATAGCATGGCCGCCCCAAGATGGCGTGGTAGGACCCTGGGAAGTCCACTACCTGGAAGGTGAGGACCTCTAAGCAGAAGTTGGCTCGGTCACCAAACATGATGGGTAGGTCGATCTACCCGAGCGGGTACACCTACGTCCCTGGGATCACGCCATGGAAGGGAGAGCACACTGGGTGGAGCTCTGACCGGGGATGCGCATGGCGTCGGTGTCGATGTAGAGAATGTTGAGGCCACTACCTCCATCCATCAGCACCTTGGTGAGGCCCTTCTTGCAGACGATGGGGTCGACGACGAGTGGGTAGCGACCCGATCGGGCGACATGGGAAGGATGGTCTCTCTGATCAAAAGTGATCGAAGAGTCCGACCAGCTAAGGAAAGAGGGGACGACCATCTCGGTAGCACATGCCTCTCTGTAGTGCACCTTTGCTAGCACTTAGAGCGGATGGCGTCGGATCCCCCAAAAATCATGAGGCATTCCTCGGGGTCGGGGAAGCCATCATCATCCTTGCCCACCATGCCTCCTTTCTTGGCCGCTGCCTCCTTGCCCTTTCCTTCCTTTGGCTTGCCAGCTTGTCACAAAAGCGCTTGAGGAGCTCATAGTCCTTGTAGAGGTGCTTGATGGGGTTGGCGTGGTTGGTGCATAGACTCTCCATGAGCTTGTCGAAGTGGTCGGGCTAGCCTTGGTAGGGCTGCTTTCCCACACGATCGGCTACAACAACCAAAACTAGGTTGGATCAAGGACTCACAGGTTGTCCCAGAGAGGAACACGCTGACGACATCCACGTCAACGACATTAGGAAGGGAGTTGCATAGTTTTGAGAACCTACGGATGTAATCCCATAGGGACTCATTGGACTCCTGCTGGTAGCTCTTAAGGTCCTAGGAATTCCCAAGGCGGACATATGTCCCTTGAACATTCTCGACGAAGACCTTCTTGAGATCCGCCTAGTCATGGATGCTGTCAGGCGGGAGGAATTCAAGCCATGCTTGAACATGCTCCCCACGTAGATGGGGAGATACTAAATGATGAAGTGGTCATCATCCACACCACCGGCTCGGTAGGCAAGCTAGAAATCTTTGAGCCATATACCAGGGTTTGTCTCTCCCGGTGTATCTAGCGATGTTGGTGGGTGGTCGGAAGCACTACGGGAACAGTGCTCTCTGGATGCGACGACCAAAGTTCCCTTGGCCCCGGTCCATCCAGGCTAGGGCTCCAACCATTTGGTCGGCCACCATGCCTAGGATGCGTGTCCCCGTACTCCTCGATGGTCAGGCCTTGGCCCATGCCGCCAGCTCTCGCCGCCACTTGATTAACGTCATCATTGTGCCGGGATTGGCGCCGATTGTTGATGACACTGCGAGCATCATGGTTTGGCCCAAGCCATTTGCACATAGGTGGTCGGTGTGGAGCAGGCACGGGTCAGGCCGTGGTGTAGCCATGGCCTCCTGCTCCACGCCTGGCAACTATAGCGGTGAGCGGATGGAGAGATTTGACTGGTGTGGCCCCATTCCCTCGGTGGGGCAAGAGGACGTGAGTCGGTGTCATGACGTGAAGCTCTCCGCCTGTTGAACGACGGCGGTTTCCACCAGCGCCTAGAGGTTTTGGTGGATTGCTTGCTCCTAGGGGTCGATAGGCTCGAGAAGGCCACGTAGAAGCATCGCCGCAGCAGTGATGATGTTCGCCGCCTGAGCAAACTATGGGGATCATTTCCTCTGTTCAGGATGTTGCGTTGACCCTGACAAGCATAGCCCCAGGCGCCGCTCACCGGGTTACGCGCGCGTGACGCAGCGTACTACGCCGAGCGCTCCAACACAGTTGGCGGCTGGCTCTGCCACCTTTGTCGTAACTCCTCGCAGTGCTTCTACACACGCGCAAGGGTCTCCGCATGAGGGTCCGATGGGGTATGAGTTTGTAGAGACTCTGCTTAGCACTGGTGGCTATCCCAGAGCGTTCGCCATAGCGCTCGGGACAGAGGGTGCCAGTGCCATGGCGTCGCCAATGCTGGAGCCGTTGCTCTCGACCTCATCATCCACGAGGTCATGAAAAGAGACGGGAGCGTAGCTTGCCATCCCCACGAATTCGGATGTGAGAGGGGGCGGCGTCAGCATCCTTCGGAGTCCCCCCCATACACGTCCACGGGGGACACGAACCGTAGGGGAACCGGTCGCATGGTGGTCGTGGTGGGGACAACGGGGTCCCTCTAGAGATTCAGAAGGTATTAAATAGCGAGTAAAGAACAATATGTACGTTACTCACCGTGGAGTTTGAGCCCAGCATGGGCTCAAAGCGAAGTGCAGGTGTCTCGACGTTGAGGTCGTCGAGTGGCTTAGGGCCGACGGAGGGCGCTCCTCCTCCAGTGGGCGCTGGGACAAGTGCCTCCTTGTGGAGGCGGAGTGCGCCGAGCTGGTCGGCGACGAAGTCTAGACTTCCAAAGAGGAAGGTCTAGAGCAGCTTGAAGACAGGAGGAACCCACATCACAATAGGTGGGAGCATGGGAAACTCTAGCGAAGCTGAACCGAATCGTATCGCTTGAGCCCTTCATGCCAAAGATGGTGGAAAGGTGGGCCATCCGATGATCAAAAGCGTGAACGCACGGCGTCCTGTCCACGGACGGCGCCAACTATTGGTGCGAAAAGTGACCAACAAGTAAATATTTGTAGTTTTACCATGCGTTGTGATCGGATGTGGCCTAGCACTCAATGGCACAGGATTTATACTAGTTCAGACAACGTGCCCTACGTTCAGTTTCAGTCGGTCGAAGACTTTATTCCTGAGCCTAGGTACTCGAAGTTTGCTGTGGGGTTACAAACGAGTAGGAATAAGAAAGATGATGTTAAAGGCTTGGTCGGACTCTAAACCAAAGGGCTAAGAGTGGCGGGGGCTCTAACGTGCGCTAAGTATTAGAGCGTGTACTCTATGTAGCTTTAGAGTTCTAGAGCTATGGAGCTGTTCGAATGCTCAGATTGTCTAGAGCCAGCCAGAGAGAGAGAGAGAGTCTAAATGACCATCCTCTATTGGGAGAGAGCGCATCACCTTTTATAGGTGAAGGGGATGGCCTTACAAGTTAAGAGAAAGAGAGAATATATACGTGTGCTACCCAGTCTTGTTGCCCACGCTGTCGGGTACGAGACAAATGTCGGTGCCCACACTACTATTGATATTCAGATGCATGTGGCAGGCTTTACCGTGTTCGCCTAGTATGGCAAATGTCGGCGCCCACAACACTGTTAGACAAATGTCAACGCCACAACACTGTTTGGGTTCTGACACATCTGGAAGGTTGCATAGTACCTGTCTGGCATGGCCTGGTGGCACTGTCCTGCAGGTGTGCAGGGTACGGTCCTTGGTATTGTGGTTGACTTGAGCGTCTTACCTTATCTGTTCCGCCTGATCCCGGGCCCTTACCGAGCGAGCGTCCCCAGTCGGTCATTCCCGATCGGTTCCGACCGTGTCGGTCGGAGAAGAGCTGCAAGCAGAGGTTCGGCGTATTCCGATCGAAAAAGGAGGTCGGAGTCGGATCATGTCCCTTCCTTGGCCAGGCCTTCCGGTCGAAGACCGGATCATTCTCCAGGTCGATCGTTAGGTAACTGGGCTGGCCCGGGAGGCGCGCGTTGTCACTACGCTGTCTGCTGGGCCGAGTTTTTGCTGGGAAGCGAGCTCATTGGGGACCCCGGGTTTATGAACCCGACACTTGATATATTAGGGGGTTATAAAGACTTTTTAATATGCCACGTCAGCAAAATCACCTTCAAAACCACCTTAGGGTTATTTAGACGGTTTCCAATAGTTTGAGGGGTAGAATGCGTGGATTTTATTAGAGAGAGAGTGAAGTAGACAACCACCAATGGTTAAAGGGTTATGTAGACTTTTTCCTATAAAAAATTATATTGAGTTAAGAACTTCAAGTTGTAAACCTAAGAAAATTTTGTTTGATCGAAAAATAAACCAGATGTGATTATTTTGTGACAGAGGGCACAGTCACACTTCAATTAGATAGCGATGCCTGCTGCTTAAGCCTGGACAAAATACCCGTTATCCAAAACCCAAACCCAAACTACTTGTACCCGTACCCGAACTACCTGTACTTGATCTACCCGAATACAATTTTGGATAGTGACTGCAGATACCCTAAATTAGTTCAAGAAATTCAGGTAACACCTCCCGGTATCCAAACTACTCGTATTTATCTGATATCCCATCAACTTATAAAGGCATCAAACCCACTACGGCCCAGCATTAGGTACCAGCTTCATTTAACTCGTCTCGTACCACCACCGACTCCCTGAGCGCTCGACACCTAGATACAAACCCCGCAAAATCTCCAAACCCTAGCCGTAATGCGCCCGCCACCCCGCGCCCACGCCGCCGCCCCACGTGGTCGAGCCTCCGCCGGCCGCTCGCCCCCACTCGACGCACAAGGCTGAGCGCCTGAGCCCTCGCCCGACGCGTGATGGCGTGATGCTGAGACCCCGCCCCCACCCGACGTGCGAGGCCGAGAGTGACCGCCCGATGGGTGACGCACGAGCGCGATTCCAACACAGCATTCGTCCCACACGGCGCACGCACCCGGTGACCGGCGTTAGCACCGGCGCGCCACCGCGCCGACGACCAACTCAGCATCATCTGCAACTCCCTGTCCCAGGTCTTGACGGCTGAAGAACGGCACCCAGCTGACGAGCTCGGATCCTAGGAATCTCGGGTAGATCGGGAATATCCGATCCCAAATCCAAATTATCGGATACCTGAAATATCGCGTAGTGGTTTTTCGACGCCAAATTCAGGAATTTCTTATTAGCCGAACTACCCGACCTGAAAAATTCCACGCCCAGGGCTACCGCTGCTTGACCCAAATGGCGTTGTCCCTTAGGAGTCACATTTATAATCTTTGGGACGGCGGACGGCGGCGACCCCTCCAACTCCCACCTTGGTATGGCCGCTGCTGCGCCGTTATCACCGTCGCAGCCATGAGACTTCTCCTTACCCGCCTCTTCACCTCCACTCACATTGCCATGGCCTCGTCTTCCTTCTCTTCCTCTCCGTCTCGGCGGTTGGCCCATCTCACACGCCATCTCACCTCCTCTTCTTCCGGCGAGCTCTCCTCAGTGGGCTCCCCTGCCGCCGCCGCCGCAGATGCCGTCCCCGCGAAAAGCCCACGCTCGGCCGCCTCCAAGGTCCACGCCGCGGTGCTGGTCTGCCTCTTCGAGGACCCAAGCAGCGGGCCACGGGTCCTGCTTACCAAGCGCGCTTCCTCCCTCTCCACCCACTCCGGTAGACACATGATTCTGGCTAAAGCTTTTGCCTATTGAATTTTCCTCTGGACGATTCCTTCCTTGGAGTGCTTCAATCAATTTCTTGAAAATTGTAAGGGGAGGTATCGTTACCCGGAGGGAAGGTGGAGGATGGGGACGCAGATCCGAAGGCCACAGCTCTACGGGAGGCGAAGGAGGAGATTGGACTGGACCCGGCGCTTGTTAATGTTGTCACAGTTCTTGAGCCTTTCTTATCAAAGGTAAGCTATTTTTGATATATAAGAGGATTAATCTCGACTCGTCGTAGTGCCAAACCTCCTCAAGTATACATGCTTGCAGCATTAAGATAGCATAACAACAATTGACACCAGGATATCTCTTACGGTGTCAGTTCATTTTGCAAACATCAAAATTCGACGACAAACTTTGATTGGAGGATCGAAAATTCGAAATACTGATAGTAAACAATCAAATGTTATGCCCAACTTCAATTAAAATCTTAGAATAAAATGCGAACTGAAATTCTAAAATTGTATGTCTGATTTTGGAAGACCTTTATGTGGTGGAGTATCATTTTCTTTTTCTTTATATATGGCCTGTTTAACTTTAAGCCCATCACATATTTTCATGCTTGGATTGTACATCATGTAACTTTTTTTTTTCTCTTCGATTAGATGCCATGTCACGAAGTATATTAAGCTAGTGGCCAGAATAATTAAATGTACAAGTATTGGGGCCTAAGAATTTGATCTGAAGGCAAGTGGTATAATAAGCTTATTGGTTTAGTCTGATAAGAATCAGAGCTGAGCAAATGGTTTTGGTGTAGCCATTAAAACCATGCCTACAGTAGGAAGCAAAGGAAGCAAGTGAGCATCAGTGAAGGTGCAATTGACCGATGAACAAATTTTCAAGAAATGTTTAAACGAGGGATAAACTCCCCCAGTGACAATGCAACTTTAGAGTTTTAGGTAGGGGACCGAGTAATGCGACCTCAGAATTAAAGGGTTACATCTGCAATTTTCTCAAAAAAGGAGAAAAATACCACGTTGGGGGATCTCAGGAAGAGGAAGATATTCTGAACTTCTGACTGCACAAAATACTATGAATAAACAAGAAAATTCTTTCGATATAAGCATGTAAACATCAGTATTAACCTACTATCAGGAAGAGGTGTACTACGGTCTACGGTCAAGTAAAATCATTCAATCAAAATTAAGGAACTGTCAATGGTCATAACTGGTGAATATGTTGTCAAAGGCTTGTTTCACCATTGTGTTGTCAAAGTTGGGTTGTTTCACCCTGTAAATCATTTTTTTTTGCACAATCCCCCCTCCCTTTTCCGTGCTGATGTCTCTGAGAGGGGATACTCAATGATCATTCAAATGCATAGGTGTACCTATATCCGTGGACCATCAAAATGACACCCATGATCCATATGAAATACAGAGCTGACCAAATGGAATCTTCCTCACTCTAGTCAAGCTTAGCAAGTTTAGCTTTTACCTATGTCTGTGTTATTGTTGCTAGCTGGAGGTAGCTTTGAGATTTTGGAACATTTTGCGTCAGCCTTTCCTTTTAAAGTTTCTAGCAATCAAAGATTTACCTTGGCTCCATCTTTTTGGAACTGGTGGCAAGGAAAAAGCTTTTTAATCAAATATTGAAAAAAAAAGTCATGCAGGGATTGCTGCACTGAGTATATCAGTTTGACATGCATCTCTACTTTCCTATATCTATGATGTGGCACATGCTTTTCTACTTTTCCAATGGAAGTGCAAACTGTCCAGTACTTATGCTACAACCTTTCTTTTGCAGAATGGCCTCAATGTTGTTCCTGTAATTGGCATGGTCTCAGATAAAGCCTTATTCAAGCCTGTCTTAAATAAAGCTGAAGTGGAGGACATCTTTGATGCACCTCTGGAGATGTTTCTAAAGGTACTTGTTTCTCTATCATATGTTGTAGTGGAAACAATTTTGTTGATGTTCCTTAATTCCTTTTCGCTCGTTAGATCCCTTATAGGTGCGCGTAAGAACATTGCATTGCATAGTTTTCACTTGTGTTGCATCAACAGGACGACCACCGGAGAACAAAACAAATGAATTGGATGGGCATAGATATTCCCGTCCAGTTTTTCGACTACAAGGCAGACGGCAAAAAGTTTGTGATTTGGGGCTTCACTGCACACATCGTCACACGTGCAGCGGCAGTCATTTTTGGGAGGAAACCATCATTTGACGAACTTCCCAGACCCAAATATGCAAGTGCAAGTGCACCTGAGTGTAAACCCTGATGCAGCATAATCTTGATTTAAGGGGCTGTTTGGTCATGAACCTTGTCTGGTTGTAGAATTATGTTTCCCACTGTGTGATGGCTGGGGAAGGTACCAAAATTTGCTTGGTATATTTATCTACAGTATATAGATAGATGTAAAACGTATTCTGAGAATAGCACAGCAAATAATATTGAAACATTTGCCCGTCTCATTTTGTGGTTTGGGCAATTGGGAGCTTGGTGAAAGAGGGAGGAGGCCTGGTGCTGCTTTGTAAAAGGATATGTACAGTAAACTCCAGAAAATGTATGCCACACTCTAGAAATTGAAGCTTGTGATTTCTGTCATGCTAGAAGAGTACTACTACCTGGTACCAATTTCCTTATGCTTAGTTTAGGAATGTTATTATATTCAGATACTCTTAGTCAATAGTTTTGACTGGCACGTTTGTAGCCGCCCATTCTGTTGAACCTGCTAAATCAGTCAATACAGTTTGTTGACAGACACGGAGGGTCCTCTCCTCGCAGAAAGCGACATGGAAACAGCTCCCTCCACTCACTCGTGATTGATTATTAAATCAAATAAAGGTTAAATTAAATAATAAATAATAGGAGCAATAGCACACTCAACAAGGCAAGTCACCCACTACCATATTAGATAGTACTATCAAGGATCGCCTAACTAATCAAGCAAGCAAAGGAAGAGAGGAAAGGAAGACAAGGCGGCCTGTGATGTGCTGCTGCGGCGATGGCGGCGAGTGCCGGCCGCTGGGCTGGCTGCTGGGACTGCCGTTCGCGCTACTCGCCGTCCTCGTCTCCATCGTCGGCGCCATCATCTGGATCATCGGGTAACCTTTCCTTACTTCGATTTTGCCTCTGCTTGCGTGCGAATTCTCATTGGCGACAACACGGCTTTGCTGTGATCCGTGCAGACTGCCCATCTCTTGCATCTGCCCGTGCTGCCTCTGCGTGACGGTGGTGCTGGAGGCGGCGGTGGAGCTCATCAAGGCGCCGCTGCACGTCATGACCTGGTTCACCTCCAAGATACCCTGCTAGACAAGTAGTCGTAAAACCACGTCTAGGATTCATTGTTCCTAGCCTAGCTCCATGTACGATGGGTCATGTTGGGCGAGGATGATTCATGTGAGTCCAATTGAGTTGTGAACGGATTGTTTCTGTCGATCAGCATGCATGCCTCTTCTTCTTGTGTTTCCTCGTGGCATGATTTGAAGTTGAGAACTTGAGAGAGACTGATCACTAATCAATTTGTTGGAGGTGACCGGTGAGTGAGTAGATTATATATAATTCTGTGTTTACCTCTTTTTTCCATTGTTTCCGCTCTTGTCTTTCGATTGTAACTTTCCATGGTGATGAACACACGGGTTTCGTCAATTGCTGATATGATGGGCACAGCTTCGTAGCAATTCAGACGCAAGAACAAGGCTACGAAGGTCTGTCACATGTCGCTGTCTACCCAAGTGGATGTGGAACACGGCAGTAGCTAACAACGTATAAAATGGGGCAATGCATGAGCAGAATCTCAAGCGCGTCTAGAACTACAGAGTAGAGGGTGAGTATACAACTGGAATTGGAGGCAGTTAAGCACGACCAGTCATGCTATACGAGAGTGCGCGACCGCAAACTTGTTCCGGCCCTATTCTTCTCCGCGAAAACGCACCGTCCCGCTCCCTCCTGCAGCCTCCACCGCCACCCCAGCCGCTGGCCGCGCCGCCACCGCCCACCCCGTCGCTCCACCCTGCCCTCCTCTAGCCTCAACCGGAGAGCCTGCTCGAGCACCGTGCCCCTGCCACAAGCTCTTCCCAAGTGGATGTCTCCTGTTGCCCGCTCGGCGGTGTCCCGCCGCCTTGCCTCGTTGCTCCTCAACCCGCCGCCACCGGCGGTCCGGTCGCCGCCCGAGGCCCCTGAAATGATTCACAATTTCCTCGAAGGGAAATCTACATATACATACCATAATGTGATAGTCCCAGGAGATCATGCCATCACATTATCGAATTCAAGTCGATATCACAAGTCATGCATTTTGAATACCTGTCTTAGAAGGGTACAATAGAGAGGTTTACCCATAACATCGCAACTTGGATCACACAACAATAGAGAGGTAACTAGTAAGCTACACAAGCTAACTAATTACAAGAGTAATTACACAAGCACAATATAAATGAAGTAAATACAAGTTTGTGTAATGAGGATGAGCACAAATTTTTTAGCTACACAAACTAAATAATGTGACTAACAAGGTTACTCAAACCGAATTAGTCACGCAAGGGAGCTACTTCTATGTTACACAAGCAAGAAGGTAACTAGCAAGCTACACAAGCTAACTAATTACAAGAGCAACTACACAAGCACAATGTAAATGAAGTAAATACAAGCTTGTGTAACGAGGATGCAAACCAATGGGAATACAAGGATGATATGATGATTTTTATCCCGAGGTTCACGTGCTTGCCAACACGCTAGTCTCCGTTGGGACAAGCTCCAAGGTTGCCGTCGGTCCTCTTGCTTGTGGTGACCCGCAAGTCACACTCTCCCACGTGGAGTGCTTACCACAAGTTCTAGCACTTCACCCGGCCGGACCACTTGTCGCCCTTCGTGTCTCGCTCTACTAGAGTTGCTCTTCATGGCGCCCATAGGGTGAGCACAATCCCCCTCACAATCACTTCTCCGGAGCATCGCACAATCTTCTTTGCGTGCTTCAACAGAGACCACCACCAAGCCGTCTAGGAGGTGGCAACCTCTAAGAGTAACAAGCACCACCGGCTTGCAACTCGATCACCTAGTGCCACTCGATGCAACTTCACGATGCAATCGCACTAGAATCGCTCACTCACTCGATCAAATGAACACTATCAAGCTCAAGTGAGTTAGAGGGCTCCCAAACACACCTACACAAGCCACTAAGGCTCAAGGGTGCTCAGCTCTCGGCCAAAGGCCAACCAACACTTCTATTTATAGTCCCACGGGCTAAAAAAGCCATTACCCCTTCACTGGGCAGATTTCGGGACGACCGGACGCGCAGGTCGTGTGCACCGGACACGTTCGGTCACTGCTTGACCGCCACGTGTCCCATTCAAATGAAGTAGCCATTGCCGCCCAATGACCCTCTCTGACACGCTCTGACGCGATGCATCGGATGCACTGCAGCAAAGTGATCGGACATAGGAGGGGCAGCGTCCGGTCGAGTCCATAGATCTCCTAGACCTGCTCAACTGTGACCGGACGCGTCCGGTGGGGCCGACCGGACGCGCCCCTGCGTCCGGTCCTCTCTGGACCAACACCCGTGCCCCATGTCACCATGACCTGATGCTAAACAGTGATTGCTCAGCATCCGATAACTACTATGAGCCAGAGTCCGGTCACCTTGGCAACTCTGCCCGCGCCTGGCCAGAATACCGGACGCGTCTGGTATCGATATCGGACACGTTCGGTCACGTCGGGAATACTGCCGCCTGAGTCAGATACCGGACGCGTCCGGTATTCATGTCAGACGCGTCCGATCACCCCGTGACCAGCGCATTCAACTCCTTTTCTTGACCAACTTCCTCTCCTTTGCAAATGTGCCAACACCACCAAGTGTACAACACCTTGTGCACGTGTGTTAGCTTTTCACATACATTTTTTAAGGAGTTAACCACTCAACTTGCCACGCCACTCGATCCTAGAAACGATGCAAAGTTAGATCACTCGAGTGGCACTGGATGACCAATATGCAAACAAGTTTGCCCCTCTTGATAGTACGGCCATCTATCCTAAACCCGGTCAAGCACTTCTCTACACAACCTATGACTGGTGAAATGAAATGCCCTAGGTTATACCTTTGCCTTGCGCATTCCATTCCAACTCCTCCATTGTTTATGCAACACATGCACCAACCAATCACCAAATGATATGATCCACTTTATATCATCACATGACCGTATTGGTTCATCGATCTTGACCTCACTTGCTTTTCACCGTTGCCTTCGTCCATCGACGCCATATCTTGCTCAAGCTTCACCGCCAAATGGTCCATCGCTCCAAAGCCTCTAACTTGCCCTTCACGCTTGCAACCGGTCCATCAAGCCAAGTCTTGTCTTGATCTTCTCCAAATTAGTCACATGACTCAATGTCATGTCTCATATGCAATGAGCTCCTTCATCACATGTGTGAGCCTTGCAACATATGCAAGCCATCTTCATCGTCATGGCATATGTTGCTCACACACATGTACTTGTGGACTAATCACCTGTGTATCTCACATAAACACATATTAGTCCACCTAGGTTGTCACTCAATTACCAAAACCAAATAAGGACCTTTCAGTGAGCTCATCATTAAGTCATAATTTTAGTTATCAAATTTTTAACCCATTACCCATCCGTCCATCCCATCCATAACCACACATAGCCACCACACAGCTCACTACTACTACTCTCTCTCTAAGCGACAAGGACAATTCCCGCTCATCCTTGCCTCAACGGCCACAGGCTGGATCCTTATCCAACCCAGGGGGAAGAGAAGAAAGACACCTCTCTCCATTCAAGTGAAAGCGAGAAACATAGGAATGTTCATGACCATGGACACAACTATATGTATAGATCGATCAACTCTGCAGAGTGTGTACACCTATACCCACAAGATCTCCATCATCGGCGGCGCCCCGTCTAGGCTGATTCGGGCTGCCTTCCAACCGGTACGATACCACCTTGCCACTCAGCCCTAAGTCACCCTAGAGTCCACCAACACATTGAGATTGTGAATCATAGTACCGGGCCTCCAATTGGTCACCACGCGGTCTCGGTAGGGTTAAAGGACACACCCTTACCTCCCTACACTATTACCTACTACCAAGTATCAGTATTAGGGATACATGGAAGAAGGAAGCTAATGGCCGTGAATGCCAACTCACATGGATGGTCCAGAGCATATTTTGGTCTCGCTCAACCCCGAAGGTACAGGTTCTGTCTCGCCCGACCCCGAGGGCTCATTCTCCGTCTTGCCAGACCCCTTGGGCGCGGGCTA